TTGGCATCAACAACTTACTCATTCCTACCCACGCATTCCAAATCGCAAAAGCAATCGAACACGGGTTGTCAAGTACGCCATAACTGATTTGTCATGATGAGTTAGTTATCTTGCTGTTCCTTTAAACTTGATCTTCATTAGGGTTACACCAGCTAGCTTCTATCTGTAGGTTTTTATCTTTTTCTTAAATGAGACATGCAATCAGCATGAGTAAATGAATGGAACAAAGAAATATCACGGAAGAATAAACAAAATGCATCAGAGTGAGACAAACAAGAGGGACAAAAAACAAAGCAAAACTGAATGTTATTGTTGACACCTAACAAGTGGGCTACAACAGATTTCAGAAGCGTAAAGAGTCTTTAGTAACAGCAACAAGTTTGATTCACGAACTTTACATATGCATTATTCCTTCTATCATGGACAAACTTTAGATTGTCCATGCAACTGTCTAGCCCCTGGGTCACCCTCATGGCCCTCGATATACAGTGACCGCCAAAAAGTTGCGGACAAGCCTCCCTCCCTTTTTCATCGCTCTTTTCAGAAGGAAAACAAGGATAAAAAAATGTAGTGATTGCATGAGGTGATAGAGCTCTTCAAGATCTACAATCTACACTTTGCGTTTTTCGAAAAACATGTATTCTAAAAATTTTAAAAAACTTTTTGTAAAAAAAGTCCGAAAATGGCAGCGTCACAATGTCGCAGACAATAATTCTTCGAACGCAAAAATTTTCTTTTGAGTCCTATTCTGAAGCTGAAACACAAGTAATTCAAACGGGTAAGCATACTACTATACAGAGCTCGTCAAGAACTACACACTGGTTATGTTTAAGCCAAGTTTCTTTACATGGAAACCTATTCACGACATTCCAACAACGCTGTTCGGATAAAGCAGATGCTCTTTACCACTCTCCATGCATCTGACGTGTGCTGATGAGTTTCTTTGTTGAAAATGGCTCTTGGCAGTGCTTGCACATGACCCCACCTGCACCTCACCACTGACTTGTACCGCTTTGCAGGCTTGTAACTCGGCTTGTAGTCAGTGCGTGAGCCTGCAGTTAAGCTCATTCGAAAGAACGTGACTTTCTCTATACAATGGTATGTAAAGGAGATGGGTATAAGAAATAGCGGAGATTTGGCGGATGGGGTGGAAAAACGCGGCCTCAGTGGTAGGGTGAGGATATCCAGCTAAAGTTGAATAGAGCTTCTTTCGCTACCAGTTCAATCCTGGAAGCTTGAAACTGTCAATGTTCTTGTAATAGATCCATTTTGAAGCTCTAGAACTGTTTTGGTGTTAATAAGAGCCTTCACTCCAACCACCACTGAGGCCGCGTTTTTCCACCCCATCCGCCAAATCTCCGCTATTTCTTATACCCATATCTTTTACATACCATCGTGTAGAGAAAGTCTCGTTCTTTCGAATGAGCTTAACTGCAGGCTCACACACTGACTACAAGCCGAGTTACAAGCCTGCAAAGCGGTACAAGTCAGTGGTGAGGTGCAGGTGGGGTCATGTGCAAGCACTGCCAAGAGCCATTTTCAACAAAGAAACTCATCAGCACGCGTCAGATGCATGGAGAATGGTAAAAGCATCTGCTTTATAAGAACAGCGTTGTTGGAATGTCGTGAATAGGTTTCCATGTGAAGAAACTTGGCTTAAAAAGAAGAATTAGAAGTTATTTTTGAAAAAAAAGCAAACTAAAACTCAAACTTGTGTTTTCTGGGAAGCAACCATAACCAGTGCGTAGTTCTTGACGAGCTCTGTATAGTAGTATGCTTACCCGTTTGAATTACTTGTGTTTCAGCTTCAGAATAGGGCTCAAAAGAAAATTTTTGCGTTCGAAGAATTATTGTCCGCGACATTGTGACGCGGCCATTTTCGGACTTTTTTTACAAAAAGTTTTTTTAAAATTTTTAGAATACATGTTTTTCGAAAAATGCAAGGTGTAGATTGTAGATCTTGAAGAGCTCTATCACCTCATGCAATCATTACATTTTTTTATCCTTGTTTTCCTTCTGAAATAGAGGGATGAAAAAGGGAGGGAGGCTTGTCCGCAACTTTTTGGCGGTCACTGTACACGCTGCGCTTTCTGGAAAACATGTATCCTAAAAATTGTAAAACTCTTTTTTAAAAAAGGTCCAAAAATGGCCGCGTCACAATGTCGCGGACAATAATTCTTCGAACGCGAAAATTTTCTTTTAGGTTTTTCTTGGAGCAAAAACAGAAATTATCCGGACAGGTAAGCATACTATATCGTAGAGCTCATCGAGGGCAATAATCGGCTAATGGTTCCTTCCAAAAAAACCCAAGCTTGAATTTTATTTTGCTTCTTTTCAAAAAATAACTTCTAATTCCCTGCTTCAAGCCGAATTTCTTCACATGGAAACCCATTTAAGATATTCTAACAAAGCTATTCGGATAAAACGGATGCCCTTTGCTATCTTCTATGCATCGGACATGTGCTGGTGAGTTTTCTTGCTGAAAATATTTTGACAGTGCGTGCACATGACCCCACCTGCACCTCACCACTGACTTGCACCGCTTTGCAGGGTTGTATCTCGGCCAGCAGTCACTCTGTGAGCTTGGAGGTAAGCTCAATCGAAAGAGCGCGGATTTCTCGACACGATGGTATGCAAAATAGTTGGATATGAGAAACAACGGAGTTTTGGCGGATGGGGTGAGAAAGCGCGGCGTTAGAGGTGATTGGGATGGAGGCTTTTATCAACATCAGAACAGTCCTAAAGCTTCGAAATGGATCTATTGCAAGAACATTGACAGTTCTTAATTTCTAGATGGAACTTGTAGCAAAAGAAGCTCTATTAAACTTTAGCTGAAAATCCTTAGCCTACCACTGAAGCTGCGCCTTTTCACTCCATCTGCCAAATCTCCGTTGTTTCTCATACCCAACTATTTTGCATACCATCGTGTCGAGAAATCCGCGCTCTTTCGAATGAGCCTACATCCAAGCTCACAGAATGACTGCTGGCAGAGATACAACCCTGCAAAGCGGTGCAAGTCAGTGGTGAAGTGCAGGTGGGGTCATGTGCACGCACTGTGAAAAGCCATTTTCAGCAAAGATACTCACCAGCACACGTCCGATGCATAGAGAATGGCAAAGGGCATCCTTTTTATCTGAATAGCTTTCTTGGAATATCTTGAATGGGTTTCCATATGAGGAAATTCGGCTTGAAGCAGGGAATTAGAAGTTATGTTTTGAAAAGAAGCAAAATAAAATTCAAGCTTGGGTTTTTTTGGAAGTAACCACTACCGGATTATTGTCCTCGATGAGGTCTACAATATAGTATGCTTACCTGCCCGGAAAACTTTTGTTTTTGCTCAAAAAAAGACCTAAAAGAAAATTTTCGCGTTCGAAGAATTATTGTCCGCGACATTGTGACGCGGCCATTTTCGGACCTTTCTTAGAAAAAGTTTTTACAGTTCTTAGGATCCATGTTTTTCAGAAAGCGCAATATGTGGATTGTAGCTCTTGAAGAGCTCTATCACCCCATGCAATCCAACCATTTTTTCATCTTTGTTTTCCATCCGAAAATGAGCGATGAAAGAAGGAAGGCGACTTGTCCGCAACTTTTTGGCGGTCACTGTATGTATATACTATATATATCAGTGGCGTACCCAGGATTTCGGCTCGGGGGGGGGGCGACAAAAATTTTTTTCCAATGAAGGTGCGTGGCGTTAGCCACGCACTCCGAAAAATTTCTCGGGATGTTTCCCGATATTTTTCCGGGCCCCTGAGCTCAAAATTTCAAAAAAGGGGGCGTGGCGTCAGCCACGCCCCCGAAAAAAATTTTTTTATAAGGCTAATTTGAATTTTTAAAAATTTTAAAAAATTATTTTAATTATTTACAAGTAAAAACAAGTCCTCTGCACATTTTTATAACCCATGTAAGTAACTTTCAAAAATTTCGCGACCCGTTCTCGGGGGGGGGGGCGCGCGCCCCCCCCCCCTCCGCCCCCACCCTCGGTACGCCACTGATATATATATATATATATATATATATATATATATATATATATATATATCAGTGGCGTACCGAGGGGGGGGGCGGGGGGGGCGCGCGCCCCCCCCGAGAACGGGTCGCGAAATTTTTGAAAGTTACTTACATGGGTTATAAAAATGTGCAAGTAACTTGTTTTTACTTGTAAATAATTAAAATAATTTTTAAAATTTTTTAAAAATTCATTTTAGCCTTATAAAAATTTTTTTTCGGGGGCGTGGCTGAAGCCACGCCCCCTTTTTCCAGATTTTAAGGGTCGGGGACCCGGAAAAATATTGAGAAGCACCCCAAAAATTTTTTCGGAGTGCGTGGCTGACGCCACGCACCTTCTTTAGAAAAAAATTTTTGTCGCGCCCCCCCCGAGCCGAAATCCTGGGTACGCCACTGATATATATATATATATATATACTCAACGGCGCCTACTTTATGTGGGTAAACTTCACATTCCATTAGTAACATTGTTTGCCAGAAGTTATTAGGCTATACATGCCCAACTTCTGTAAAAGAAGGCTGGCTCTCAAGTTTGGAGTCGGCTGTATCGCCTGTTGCGACAAACTGCCGCTCATTATATTCGCTACTAAAAAATCGTTCTGCCAAAGTTCTACCAATTCAAGATTTCAAAAAACATTCCAAAAACCTTTCAACTTGTTCATTGCTTCGTCAGGATTGGAGATCATATAGACTTTTCTTACTGGTGCCTTCTGAGCATCAGTGGCGCACCGAGGGGGAAGGGAGGCTGGGAATGAGTTGCGGAATTTTTGAATGTTACATAAGTCACAAAAACGTGCAAGTAACTTTTTTATACTTGTAATTAATTGTAATGATTTATGAAAAATTTTGAATATTAATTTTAGCTTTTGGAAAAATTTCTGGAGGCAAATACTCGCCTGAAATTACTCGCCTCTTTGTGGTAACACCACCTACTGAAACGTCTATCCACAGCCACAGAGACCGAACAGTTTTGAGAAGAAACTTTAATGATTTAAACTAATATCCATTGATGACAACTTCTTGAATTTCAACTACAAGAAGTAGCAAAGCTGCTCCTATCTGACCACAGCATGCTAGCGTCCATACAAACCTTCCCATTCCACCTGGGAGCCGGACAATAATAAACACGAGAATGCCAAGGACCAACGGAGTAAAGACTTCTGCGAAATGTGCATTTATGAAAAAATTCTTGTGTGCAAGCAAAGGTCAACTTACCAGAAGCATAGAGGAGCTTCAGTTGATTGTCGCTCTCTCTAATTATTTGACGCAAATCAAAACGTCCATCGATATTGTTGTACCTAGCAAGAGTTTATGGTAAGCTATGATTGTTTCACGTCTACATCCATAAACTCAAAATAATCTATTTTGCGGGAAGCCTTTTGCACAAGGGACTTTGGCACGCTAACGACGGCTTTCTTGATTTGTACGATACCTTCAATTCTGTGGCCGTATTCATCATTGATACCTTCAGGTAAATTCTACCTCCAGGTAGTTTTATCACTCATTATCAGCAGATACCCGTATTCACAAAAGTACCTTGAGGTAAATTCTCAAGGTAAATTTTAACCTTCAGAATTTACCTTAAGGTGTTTAGTACTGAATGAAAAGTACCTTGAGGTAAATTTCACCTCAAGGTACTGTTATCACTTGAAATCCGTATTCATCAAACGGACGCATTTACCTCGAGGTAAATTCTCAATGCAACTTCTAACCCTAGCTGGAGGCAAGGTTAGAAGTATACCTTTAGAGATTTATAGACTTTCGGGAGCTGGTTTTTTGCATGAGTAATGCAGTAACGTAAATTAGGTCACTGTGGCAATTTTGCGAAATTTTGTTGAGATTATTGAGAGTTATGGGGGTTGAGCGAACTTAAGACAAAATTTTAGTCTATATTCTTAGAAACTTTATACATTTTAACAGACGCGTGGATGGATGTGGTCATACGCAGGATTATTCTCTCATTCTTGAGCACATTAGCTGTGTTTAATCATAAAGTGGAAGTTGCTTGATGAAACTAGTTTGAAAACATCTTCAGAATTATTAGACATTACCAAATGGTGACGTGTACTGCAACGTAACCCTCAATCCCATTTCCTGACTGATCATATCGGTTTTGAAAATATGATTCCACCAAAACGTTTGTATCTCTAATACACACTGTTCCGCACTTTAGCAGAAAGAAAGAGCTAGCTGTTGAATGCAAAAAATAGACAAACGTTTTTGGTTGAGCAGGAAAATTTTATCTCAACTCTTCATTTACTCACAACGCACACATGTGGGCTTGAACATTTATAGCTTTGAGCAAAAAAATATTCTCTAAACCCCGAAAGTGACTTATTAGGGAACCGTACATACATTACATACATTCAATGATGATGATTTTGAAGCTTTGGAAGTCAAAACTTCACTACTTTTGGAATATTCGGGTCGTGTGAAATTAGAAAGAACTCAGAACGAGACCATAAAAATTCGCAAAGTACTTGAAAAAACATTATCGGTAAAAACCTCATCGAATAAGGCAGGTTTCAACTCAAACCTAAAGTGACTATGAAAAAAAAACTACTTTGACAACTTGGAAGCTTTTGTTAAGACTACTCTCTTGATAACTGTGTAAGAAGAACTTTTTCCAGAAAGGTAGGTTCCATTGTTGTAGAAACAATATCACGAATCTAAAACCCAATTTAACTAGAAGCGATCAACTTCTTGTTGTTAGATAAACTCCCTTTGGGCTCGAAATAGTTGCTTATATAGACTGTACAGTCTCAAAATCATTGACTGTAAAACTCTGAACCAATATTCCAACACGTTCGTTCATACTTTGAAAACATCTTCAGAATTATTAGACATCACCAAATGGTGACGTGTACTGCAACGTAACCCTCGATCCCATTTCCTGTCTGGTCATATCGGATTTCAAAGGATGATTTCACCAAAATGTTTATATCTCTAATACATACTGTTCCGCACTTTAGTAGAAAGAAAGAGCTAGCTGTTGAATGCAAAAAATAGACAAACGTTTTTGGTTGAGCAGGAAAATTTTGTCTCAACTCTTCATTTACTCATGACGCACACATGTGAGTTTGAACATTTATAGCTTTGAGTAAAAAATTTTTTCCTAAACCCCAATTGAATTAGAAAGTGACCCATTAGGGAATCGTCTGTACATACTTTCAATGATGATGAGTTTGAAGCTTTGGAAGTCAAAACTTCACTACTTTTGGAATAATTGGGCCTGTGTAAACTAGAAATAACTCAGAACGAAGCAAAAAACATTTGGCGGAATTTTGCGCACCGTGAAAATTCGCAAAGTACTTGAAAAACATTATCGGTAAAAACTTCAGCAAATAAGGCAGGTTTTAACTCAAACTATAGTGGCTATGAAAAAAAACTACTTTGTTTGGAAGCTTTTGTCAAGATTACTCTCTTGATAACTGTGCAAGAAGAACTTTTTTCAGAAAGGTAGGTTCCATTGTTGTAGAAACAATATCACGAATTTCAAATCCGATTTAACCAGAAGCAATCAACTTCTTGTTGTTAGATGAACCCCCTTTGGACTCGAAATAGTTGCTTATATAGACTGTACAGTCTCACAATCATTGACTGTAAAACTCTGAACCAATAGTCCAACACGTTCCTTGTGAAAATACCAAAGAAATACAAAAGAAAGCAATTTACTGCAAGTGTGTCATACCATGCTCCTAATATACGTCAGTCCTAATCACCTTGGCACAGGTAAATCTAACCTTGAGAGGGAGATTTTGATGAATACGGAAATTATTACCTCAAGGTAAATTGCACCTTCAGGTACAGCTCAAGGTAAATTGTATTGCAGTAGGCTTCATTCTAATATCATCACTTTAGTTGGAAGCAGGGGAGGATGTGTTGAATAAAATCAACTCTTTTTTTCCAAAGGACGACCAAATTTGCCGAAAAGAACTCCGAAGTGTCCAAATGCGCCGAAAAGCATTGAAAGCGTGCAAAAGCCCCACGCGCCAGCCACAAGCTCCTGAAAAATCACTGAGGTCTGCAAGTTCAAAGTTACTCGTCGTCAGTTGTTTCGTCGCGACTGAATCGCGACGAGACAACTATACAGCATCATTCCATGCCGATCAACTTGCATTTCGGTTGTAATACTTTTCCAGCCCGAAATTTTTGAATGTGAAATGAAAATGAATGGAAATGTCGGCGATTGAGTCGCGACGATCAAATCGCGTGAAGTCTGTCCGGGGCCTTAGGTCTTGAGCAGAGTTCATGCGATTTCATTGCCTCGCGATTTTTCAAACAAGAACAGTTACGATTCCATTACATGCTGATCTTCTTGCATTTCAATTGTGATGGTTAGTCACGATTAGTCGTGTCGGATAACTATCACAGCCGAGATGCAAGATGACGGTTATGCAAAGGATTCGTAACTGTTGCCTTGTTAAAGAATCGCGAAGCGATAAAATCGCGTGAACTCTGCCCGAGGCCTTAGTTTGGCTGTCAGCAACGCGCAAAGCACGAGAGGCCCTGAGGTGATCGCGGCATTGCGCGACTACCTTAATCGTCGTCAGGTAGCGCGTGCTAACGTCTCCGTACAATGAAGAGCATAGCCCGCAAAGCCGCTACATGTACCTTATTCGAGAGGTGATTACGGTTATGATGTTTGTGCATTAAACTGCACAAGTTTAGTGACCCACATTCTCCTTCCAGTCACATACAAGTTGTAAAGGCATAATGCCATGGTAAAAATGAATGTCATCATTCCCATATACTCGACATTGATGTAGGTCAGAATTACCTGAACAAGGTCATTTATAGGGTGCACCAGATAAGTACGGTGGCTCGCCAAACTGACTTGCAGTACAAGGCAGCAAAGTTGGATTGTTCTACATTGATTCACGAGTAAAGGAAAATTGTATGAGCTCTGAAAAAATTCATGATGAAAGTCACTGATTGCCAGTATGTTGCACAATACAGTCTGTTCCGAACGAGGGTCAAACATTTGACTTGAAGTTCGGTTTCGCCGAAGCTGCGCCACATCACCGAGTATACCTCGCAAGCATGCAGGGGCAAAGAGATGTATAGACGCATAAGCGTAAATGGCAGGTTATGAATAGAAACAACCAAACAAGATAAGGATTAAAAATTGTTACAAAATGAAGCAGACATTGCACGACAGGATACTGCGAAGCGTATCTCATCTCAGTTTTGGCTAAGGGCTAAAACAGGCTGGGTTAAACCTTCAGCAAAGCCAAAGTACTATGCTCTATGCAGCCCGCTTTTTCCAAACAGTACAGAGCCTTTGGTGAGGACCAACCATTTCTCGCTGAGCGATCCACAAAAGCACTATAGACTAAATAAACTTTACCTCACCATTCAGACTTCTCTTCAACCATGAGCAGAAACAATAATAGGTTGAGAACGTAAGCAAGCTTTGCATAACTCTAGGTTGAAGGCAGCATACGGTCTAGGTTGAGGTTGTTGAATTATAGGGCCGGCATCTGGCTGTACCCTTTCACCTGAGGTTGAGACTAGAATCAAGCCATAACGGCAGGAACAGGCAGCTGTTACAATGTCACTTTTTGCTTAGAAAGGAAGGCTCCTCTTCTTCCCAGACATCAAGACCGCAAGAGATTATCAAATCAACAGCGCTTCTTTGAAAAAACGCATGCTCGAGACCTTCGGAGTACTCAAAGTGGCGTTGCTAACGAAAATAATCAAAAATAAAAAGGATGTCTAATTCTTTGAATAATCAACTTGTATCAATGAATACACAGTCTCAAGAAAGAATTAAGCAAGAATAGAAAATTTGGACTAGTCAGTGATGGATGCATGTTTATTGACAACAATCGTACGATATCTCCTTTAACTAGAGAATAATACCAAATAAGAGAGCGTTTAGATTACTCGTTTCTCAAGCTTTCAAATCATATATAAAAGTTCGAAAAAGTCCTTGGTTTGAAAAGATAATTACCCAGAATTGGCTGATATTATAGCTAGGTAAAACTGCTCGTATCTCGCTTCACAGAAAAACTAGGAAAAAAGAGACGGTCTACTTCGATTCCTCGTGTTCTTAGCTATCGGATGTACAAAGTGTTGGTGCACAAAACTTGCCCAGTCCAGAAAGTCTTGCTCCGGCGACCCATAGAAAGCAAGAGCGGGTGGAGCAAGTTAGGTACTGAATATCTCTTTTTTCACCCAACAATTTATATACCATTAGAAAACCCACAAAAAAGGAATTCGACCTAGACTGTCTCTTTTTCTCTAGCTCCCCTCTACCTAGAGATACATGGCTTTCGTGATTTTCGTAAAGGTATCCTTTCGGCATCAGGGTCAAGCAAGGAATGTGGCACACGATCGCTGGTTACGACCCCCCCCCTGATTGCTGTCTTAATAAGACCCCTCTCCTGAACTATATACCTAAGATAGCAATAGAGTTGGGAAAGAGGTCAGGCACAAGTCTTTCGAAAACAACCCCCCCCCCTCCCATGAAAGCCCTCAAACGACCCCTTCTTCCTCCTCTTAACCTCTGGACCAAAGTGTGACATTCTGGAGGACACCAGCTTTTTCCAGAGAGTTTTCAGATTTCTGAGAGCCATACGCCCGATTTTCTGTGACTGCACTTTACAATCACACGTAATTTGACGGCTGATTTTGATCTGAATGGGCATATTGAAAGGGCCATAATTTTCTTATGGGTGGGGCGTTCGGCTCCAAATTTCCAGTGTAGCAAAAAGAAGCTATGTGCTCAATACTCATACCAGCAATGGAGCGCTTTCTGGATTTTGAAGGCAAGTTAAGGGAGTGCGGCACACCCCCTTAAAAGCTGCGGCAGCCGCAGCTTTCAGGGGGTGTGCCGCACCCCATTAACTATATCAAAAGAACATTTTTAGCGGACAGTATTTACATGAATCGATAGCCTAAACCTTGTAGATTCCATAGGACTGTTTGGAGCCTGATTCGTCTTCTTAGCTCTGAGTAATATTTGGTGAAAGCACAGCGATCAAATGCGAAAAATGGGAAAAACGAGATTTTGGTTGGCTTCTAATTCCACAGTTTGCAGGTCTTCTGAAGGGGATTCCTGAGGTGGACAAAGAAGGAGTAGTGCTTTGTCTTGAGTGCAAAAACGGATAGCTGATTCACCTTTGAAACAAAGTTAACCATGTTGGAATTTGACCATTTCATTTAGGTAGCCTAGTATCTTGAATCTTCAGAATTCGCTCACACTTTGTCTACAGGGGTTAATTGACATGCTAATTATGGATATGATACAAATATCATGTTATCATTATTATCAGATTACCCAAATACGACCCCCTCCCCTTTTGACTCCTCAATACGACCCCCCAGGTGTGGCGTGCCGCACCCCACGCTTGACCCTGTTCGGCATTTTGCGACGCCACAGCAGGCACCAATCGCTGCTGGGTTTGAAAAAGGCCCAGAAGATATGTCTGCGTCGGCGCAAGTCCAAACGAGGTGGTACAAAGGCCCGAGCCTTCTACTATACTATACTAATGACACTCTCAAAATGACAGTCCATTGACATGTACTTGGTAAAGGAAAGACCATTGTCCGGCACGACGATGGCCAATAAATCCCTGTGGAACCAATAGGCTTTGCCATCATGTATTTTACGATTACCTCCTTGATAGCGTCAACTGCGCAGGCTAATCTTAAAGCGCGTTTTCTTCCTTTAGAGTCGCGACTTCTTTGCTATTTCATACTCTATCGAAGAGAACAGGAGGCGTTTCAAAACCAGTTGACTATACAGTAAATATTAGGTGTGACAGATTTACGAAAAAAAATTGCTATGGCCTGCCGCCGCAACGTGGTGTGGAGGTGGCACTGGACGTCGAACTGCTATGCACAGCAGAGTGTATACTCTGGTAGGGCCTCCCAACTCAGACAATAAGTCGGGCGAGCGGCGGACCTTAATGGCTTTCCGGGCGAGTGGCGAGCTTTGATTTGTGGGCGTGGCTTTCTTGCGGACGAGCGGCGTACCCTCGCTACGGAGCGTGCGAGCGGCGGACCTTGATTTGACCAGCGGCGGCCCATCCCCTCAAGCGGATGGGCGGCGTACCATTAACGCGTTAGATTAACTTGCCATCATTTCTATGCGAGTCATTCTCATTTAGTGTTATTGCTGCGTGAGGGCGGTCAACTAGCAGTGGCCAGCAACAATAAGCAGGTAAGTGTGCACAGACAGTTATGGCGAGCATCTGCCGGCCAGCCACATGCCCATCCCGAGGGCGCGCCTAAAGGATATTCGTCGACGACTGCCCCAACTCGTGCACTTACAACACTGTGGGCGTGCCTTTTTGAAGCCTTTCCAGCTCGACAGTACACTTCAGCGCGCAACGATTTGGTAGCTCGCAGCAACACGGCCCTTTAATCTCTTTTGTTGATTTAAGCATTTCATATCGTTTTTTTCTTCTTAACTTTTATACTTCAAGTAGTCAATTGTCCTTCCTTTCTTCTAGGTTTTCTCGATGTTCGTTTATTCTACGTTCTACTTTGATGTGAACGGTGAAAGCTAAGGAAAACTAGTTCAGGCACATTTCCTGAACGCCTTTCCATTTTTACCTACCAAAGATTCTTTTTCAAAATCGTGAACCATCGCTCCCAAAATTGGGTGAAAGGGTGTGCTTTGTCATAAGCAGGGTGGCTATCATGGATTCTCCTTAGATGAGACCACTCGGATGTTTATTTCAGCACTCTCACATGGTGTCCATGATGAAGGAGTCCTGAAGTAACCACCTAGTGGTCTCTCCTAAGGTACATCTCAATTCAATAAAAAACATTAAAGAAAACATGCGATTTCAATCACAGCCATAATTTCCACCGCTGCAACTACGAAGAAAGCCCATTCTTTTTTCTAACTTTGCCCGCGGCGACCATCTCACACAGGCATTAGGAGTAATTGCCTGAAATGAGAAATAAGAAGAAAAAACAGTGTGAAATGGCTTAATTCAACAAAAGAGGTTAAAGGGCACGGATACTGCGAGCTACCAAGTCCCCGCGCGCTGTAGCGTACTGTTAAGATGGAAAGGCTCCAAAAAGGCACGCCAGCGGTGGTGTAATTGCACGATTCGGGCAGTCGTCGACGAATATCCTTTATAAGGCTCGATACATACCTGGCTGCTTAGGTATGGACAAAATTAACGAGCAGCGAAGGCAGAGCTGCTTCGGCTGATCAGCTGAGAGTATCCCTCAGGCAATGACATGATCAGGTCCACTGGAGACGAGATTTTATCTGACCACACCACCAATTTAAATATTGCCAATCTGTAGTTCATTTGATTTTCATATCTCTTCGACTTCATAGAGTATGTTCCTCCAGTTCATCCCAATATTTTCCCGTATCCGCCTCTAAAATCCTGATTTGACGGTCTTAGGTTGCATTCAAGACTTGTTCGTGCAAGAAAGACGAGTTTGTTCTCAAAGTGCTAAATGTAGCTTAAAAACCGCCAAAAACGGGTAGATTCAAACAAAAGCAGCTGTTTGCAGCTCAAAGCAACTGAGATGCGCTCAGAAAAAGTGAGCGTAACTCAGCTGCAAAATCTAGTTGCAGCGCTGATCAGCACGAGCACCTGGATGGAAGTCAATCTTGAGGATTCTAAGTGAGCTCTTAGAGATCGAGACTTGTTGTGAACTACGAAATAATTCATTAAAGGTTTTACAAGAATCTAGCAAAAACGGATAAAGAAGAGAGAAAATTTTGGATGAATTAATGGAGCAGCAAAAGGACTGGCCGGCACACCTCTTCAGATGCCTGCAAATGGCGCTGTATGTTTAAGGAAATCGGTTTCACCATTCTACATATTGTTTATGAAATTTAGGCGAGATGTGCGGCCTTACAGTTACCACTTGGGGAAATAGATACTAGCGACGTGAGAACATTACAGCGACTAGACAATTTAGTGATTATTTTATGTGCTTCAGCGACAGAAGCGTGCGGCACCGAGATGAAGATGCCTCGAAAGGTGGAAGAAAAAGAGTGAGAAGATTCTAGAAGAAGATTTTTTGGTAAACAGCGAATTTTTGGCGTATGTGTAGATGAGTGCTTGCACCTTTGCACCTTTTTTTGCGCTCATGAGAATGTGATATTGTTGCTTATTTCGTTGATATTTATTTTGTTCCGGTTTATTATCTCGTGCTGTTTCAATTTATGACGCTAAGCATACTCACTGCATTTGCTTTTGCATGTGGTGAGCTTTTCTAATAAACTATAAAACGTTACAATAATTGTTTGCACATATCTCTATCTCTATCTCAAGAATTTGGGCGTTAGCACGTCTGCCCATAGGAGAAGAAAGGAGAGATTATTAAAGCAATGACAGTAAGCTGTTAAAT